GGTCACGAAGAGTCAGACACGACTTAACGACTGAACAACAACAACAACAACAAGGGATATACTTGCAAGATTGATGTCAGCTTTGCGAGGTAGTCCAGACAGGAAACACACTCAGATGAACTAATTCTGCTTTTGTAATTCTGTACCATTACTTTGTCATTTTCTACTGGCACCATGACCCTGCCTGGGTAGGAAGTAGAAGCAACCACTCCTGCCTGCTCACTGAATATTTCTTCTTTGATTGTTCAAATTTATTTCTCTGATACAAACTTGATAAAAATTCTCACCACCAGTTGCTCTATGCAAATGTTCTTGGTAACTTGTTATGTTTTATAATGATACTATTTATTGTGCGTGCTTTTTAAATATTTAAAATAATGTACAATCAGTAAATCATGTGGTTTTGTTTTCTATTAAAAGCTTCTACTATGTGTTCAAAATTACTGTATCCATACCAGGGATGAAGGGGAAAGTTGAAACTGACTATGAATGATCAAAATGCAAGGGCCATGAGGAGTGTCCTTGGTACTGGGCTTCTAAAGTCTTTGCTGAAGAGAGTGTCTGAACACCTTTTTCTGCATCTGCACTTTAGTAAGATAGCTAACTTTGTGAAGACAGTGACACAAAAACCTATCAAACCAGATTCCACTAACAGTGCATCTTATAAAAGAAAATATAACACTTAATAACAAAACATAAGCCTTGGAAACCTCAGTAAGTACAACTTATAAAGAGGAGACTTTCAGAGATTCCTACAACCCTAGAAAAAAGTGTTTTGACCACAAACTCACATGTGTTGAGGGGCATTACTATATGAACCATGTTCCAGCTTCTGCCACTTGCCCAAGTGAGCAGCTGATCTGTGTAGCAAGTCACAATACTTGGGAGGAAGCAGTTGTGTGGTTAGCATGACAAAAGCATTGATCCAAACCATGATGAGGTGCTCACATGACCAGCGCATATCATAATACTGAGTGCTCTGCAAGAAACCAGAGAAGAAATTAATGATAGCATCCCAGCTATCTTAGAAGCAATAAGATGGTGTTTTTATATATATAAACAGCTCCTTATAAACTGCAAGGCTAGTAAGCTAGGGGAACTCAGGCATTTCTTTCTGGCATATTTTAATGCATTATATACATTGGCTGCACACTGTCTTGTGCTACAATTCATATGTAATTCCCTAAACCTTCTAGAAAGTTTGCACACATGAATGTGTACTTAGGGATACCATGGTAAAATAACAGACTCAAGAAATCTTGTTACTCAAAAACAGAGAGAACTAAGCTGATAGTGTAAGTCCTGTATTTCTGCCTTTAGACTTGTAATATCAGAAATCTCAGTAACTTCTGAAATCTCTGAGTTGATCTGGATGTCATAGCTTCCCCATGATTTAAAGTCTTAGTACTGACAATCTGGACATTGCCAAATTAGGATCTGAATTTGGCACCAAGCGTATATTATGGTACATAATAGAGTCATGTTATAATTGTCTTGAAAAAGAGGACAGGGTTAGTAGATGGAATGGAAAAAGGACTGGGAAAACCACAGGGGCACTACATGTATGGCAATACCTATCCTCCAACGGGGAGCAATACTAGGGCACTCCAGATGCAGCTACACTCCGCCATCCAGGCTGCCAAAGGGGAGACAGAGAAAAGGGGAATTAACCAAAAATCCATTGCCCCAACAATCCACAGGCAAGATTTAGGAGGTGGAGTGGCACTAATAATAGTAGTAAAGTAATCCAAGAACAGCTACCTTCACAAAGCACAGTGGCAGAAATGCCACATAGTAGGCACTGAAGAGGGAATTGAACAGAACTTCCTTGATTCGGCGGTTGAAGTCTGCTTTGAGGCCCTCCACTTCATTGCGAATGAGATCTGGGGACAAGGGACAGCTATGTGTTGGAGTGGTCATAGAAGGGTTGAACTGTTCTTTGACAGATTCTCTCAGGAGAGAAAACAAATCTTTGGGCTTCACAAGACTGCCAACCCCTGAGGCACCATCATCCACTAGTTGATCCTGCACTAAATAGCTGCAGTCTGTTGAAAGAGGCTGGGTTCTACTATCTTGGTGGAAGCAGCACAATGGAACATAGACACCAAACCTGAAAAGGGAGAGACATCAGGATGAGGTTATAAACTGTGATACATCCTATCTATGAATATTAGACAGAATTTTCAATCAAAGAGAATTGTAGCATCTCATATCACTATTTATCTCATTTTCCTATCCAATTTGATATATATTCTCCCTCTTGTTCATCCAGATCTTATATGAAGTTGATGGACTGAATGTCTCCTGAATTAGAATTAAAGAAATTCTAGTGTATAATAGACATTGACAGGGAATTTTTTTTCTGAACCAGGCAAATCTTCCCTTATGGATTTCTCCTTAAAAATTCAAGTAGTAGTTTTGAAGCCACCATTCTTTACCTAGGCTTCATTGGTCAAAAGAGTTTCTCTTTACCCTGATACAACTGGAATTGTTCATTCAGGACAAAAAGGAAGAATACTTACGGGTAGCCAAGAAAAAGGAGATTGAGGACCGAATGGCTACGGAAGAGGTTGACCAGAGTCCAGCAGAGCACCCATACACAAAGAGTGAGTAGAACTAGGCGTGCCAGAATCAATGCCATATCGTGAATCATTGAAGTTCCCACTTGCGAGGCCTGCAAATTCAAACCCAGAACCTCATCAGCTCCACAGTCTTTCCTCACATATCCCACAAATGTTCCAAAGATGTTCTGGTTCAGAGCAAACAAAAGCTTGACCTGCCATTGTACAGGGAATGTATTCCTTCAGCTGCCAACAACAATTTCCTTGGCTCTGCCCTGTTCTTACTACTAACCCTGAATCATGTTTGCCTCTTTGGTCCATATCCAAAACAGAACAATCCTGCTTCATTCTATCTACCAACCAAAATATGCATGCTTTGGGCTTGGGCATGGACCATCTGAAACTAGCTGTTCTGTACCTCGAACAATTTGTGTACATTTGGGGAAAGAGAAAAGGCAGCATGAACAATATTCTACTAAAAAAAAAAATCCAATTTATATTAGCTAAGTTCAATACCATTGACTGATTAAATAATGATTAAAAGCAATGTTAAAACAGGATTAAGAGTCAGTGCACCCAGCTTTGCAATTGCAAATGTTATACATCAGTATCAAAGGGTTCTATGTTTCCCTACACCAGGGGTGAGCAATCTATGGATCATATGTGGCATTCAATATTCCACTTGCAGCCCAGGTGGGATATAAATTGATCAAACAAATATTTGCAATCATTTTTTTTAAATTGGGGAGACTAGGGAAGTTTAAATAGTAAAACAGGTGCCTTAAGAACCCCTTTAAAAACCTCAAGCCAATTTCTTCCATTGGAAAGCACAAAACCTAGAAAAAGTTTCAAACATTTAAGTCCTGCCCACTCTGGTGAAATCAACACTTTAGAGTGAAATGCCCTGCAGATTCAAGGCAGAACAGTAGAAAGATCAAGTATCAGCTTCAGGCAAAGTCTGCCCATTTCTACCATAAACTGAAATTAGATTCAAGTACTGCAATTGTGATAGACATTGTATTCAAACCTGTCTGTATTACAGAAGTGGCTTGGATTTGGGGGCATGAAGCACATCTCAAAATGTTTGCGTGTACAAGTAACTTTTCATACTGATACCTAGAGGACATTTCATCCTTACCAGAACAACATCTTATTTCTGGTCTGTAAAAAATTCTCTTTCTATAAACATGATTGGAATTAAGAATCTGCTCCTAAGATCAATCTTGACTGAAATAACTTGAACTCTGCGCAATATGCTGCTGTTATAATATGGAACCTGAGGGCTCTATCTACTGCATAAGTTACAATCAGCTATAACTTCGGGATACAAACACTTATCCCAAGCAAGGCAGCTTCATAACTAATCTGGTTACTGTAATTTTAATACAGGTAGTCCTCAGCTTACGTCCATTTGTTTAGCAATTGTTCAAAGTTACGGCGGTGCTAAAAGAAGGGGCGTACGACTGGGTCTTGAAGTTCCAGTCACTGCAGCACCCTCGTGGTCACATGATCACAATCCGGTTGCTTGGGTGCCCGGGCTCACAATTACAACGTCACAGGGAGCTATAGTCAAAGAATCGCCATTTGCAACCTTCCCTGCTAGCTTCCCACAAGCAAAGTCAATGGGGAAGCTGGCAGGGAAGATCACAAGTTGCTCTGGTAAGTTGCTCCTGCTTTTTCTCCTGCCCACAGCACCCCCCCCACCCGTGCCCTCCACTGGCCCTCCTGTGACTCGTGTGCAGCCTGCACCAGCCTTCCCAGGCAATCCCACCCACGTTACTTACCTGGGACTCCCACCTCTTCCCGTTTAACAACCCACACAAAGTGGGGTTACGACAGCAACTGTGATTATCCAGGATTGCCTTGATGCGGTCACGTGACGTCATGCTTTATGACTACATCGCTTAGCAAAGGCAATCCCAGTCCCAACTGCTGTCCTTGGGTTACAAGGACTACTTATAACATCAACACTGGGGGATGTTTTATTGAAGGTGACTAGGTGAAAGAAGAATATGTCTGTTTTCATGAACTACAAAAAAAGAATAAAGACGGGACACACAAACTCATGTCACATATCTTGAAACTGGAAAAGGCCATCATATTACCTCAGAGATGAGGGCCCATACTAGCCTCCGTGCCAACATCACTGTGATGAATGCAGCCAAGTGGTAATCAATGAGGTGAAAGTTCTAAAGGAGAAAAGAAGAGGGTATTCACCAGGGTGAAGGAGAGGCCAGAAAGGCAGGAGGTGCTGAGCTGACATAGTAGAAGCATGGAAGTTCCTATAGGGAAGAATCAGGAAACACTGTGAATAACTGCAAGTCTGCCAGAGAAGTAGGGAAGAGAAAGGGTCATATTAAGCATATTCAGCTGCAAAGAGAGCATTAGATTTACAAATACCACACAGAAAGGAAAACAGAAACAGATATTCTATACTTACATGTGTACTTCCACTCTTAAAGAAAAGCAAAACAACTAGCACAGAGGAAAACTCCCATCCTCTGGGGTCAGAATGCCAGTCTCAAATAACTGGGTGAGGAGAAGGGGTCTCATCCCCCACCCCATCTTGAGATGTTACAGTGAAGGTGCTCAAGATAAAAAGAAAAAAAATCCCAATCAAAGACACACTAAACTACTATAATCTGATGGACTCATTCCTACTTGGGGCAGGTGGATGAAGAAAGAAGTTTGTTGAAGGCAGACTGAGCTGCCTTCCCTTCTTTTGATAAGCAAAGAAGTTAACAGATCTCGAAGAGAAACCAACTGATAAATTGCATGGCAGAAAGGCTTCAACTATTTTTGGTTGTTATTGTTTCTGCTTTTTGAAAGAGTTTCAAACACATCACTTCACATTTAGCCTTTTTATTACTACAGTAATGGTTTTATTATATTACTGTATTAAATGTTATGCTGGACTTTTTGTTAGTCATCTTGAATGCCACATGGTGGCAGTGGGAGATATAAATCAATCAATCAAATAAACAAATAAAGTAAATTTGTTCAGTGGGCATTTAAGGGTAGGGATTCAAGGGCATCTTTACTTTTAGCAAAAAGGTAAAAAAACAACAACCATAACCAATCATTCCAGAATGATCTGCCCCACACCTGTTACAGGTACAGACCCGTTTAGAAAAATCACCCAAAGGCTGTTTGAGGAAGAAAACTTTTTTTTTATAATATCTCATAAAAGAAATTCATAACAAACCAACATATCTCCTCTTGTAAATGCCTCTCCCAGAAATTAACAGAATCCCACCCCCAATGAATGAGTCAGGATGCCTCTGGAATTGCAAAGTGCTGAAAGTTTTGGCATTATTTCAGCTATCACAGTTTTGGTCAGCCTTTGACTCAAAACCAGTTTCTTGAAAAATACAACAGCTTTTGCTGGAAAAGAACTTAAGATATATTCAACTTTATATACCCAGCAACCATCCAGTATGTGCCAACCCATTCACAGGCAGAAAGAAAAATAAAGTTGTTCTTTTTAGAATGCAAAACTGGAGCATGAACATTTTTATTTCTCTGGGTGGATAACGTTCCTTTTCCAGAGGGACATCAAATTATGATGTATTTCATGAGGTCTCTAATACTGTATTTAAAAAATGAAGACTCATAAAACTCTTTGAGCTATATTAGATTTCTCTGCACCATTTCAATGCACTGTGGGCAGTTAGAAAAAATAAAAGATGTAGTAAAAATTTGCAGACATAAAAGTCTGCAATGAACTGAAATTTGGAATATTTAGGATCTAAAATTGTATGCAAAAATTTAGACACTCCATGGTCAAACTGTATGTTTCAATGAATCCTTAAGTAAACAAAACCAACAAAAACCATTACATGTACATTTGTCTGCAAATTTGAATGTAATTATTTTTGTGTACACTACTTGAACGTATACTATTTATGTATAGTTGTTCATAGACTCATTAAGAAAACAGTGAATATGGGAGATGTTTGGAAATCTTTCTAGTCAATACTTTGTGATACCTCCTTTGACAGAAATATAGTTTCCAAATGTTTCCTGTAGTCAGTTAAGAGCATTTTTCACTGCACTGTAGAACTCTTCTATCTCAGAAAACTTGGTTCTTCTTGCAAGCACTGAATGTTTGAAATCTCCCCACGTTCAAGTCTAGGGAGTAAGTAAGTCATTCCAAAACCTTTTTCTTTTTTTCTTGTAAATACTATGGTTGCTCTCAAAGTATATTTTAGATCACTGTTTTGCTGAAATATCCAACCTATTTTCAGCTTCAATCACTGATTTTGAGCCATTAGCTTTTAGGACATGGTGATATTAGTAGAATCTATTCTTCCTTCTACCTACACAGTATTTCCTATGCCTGCTGCACAATCCCAAACTCCCATCCCCATGCTTAAAGCTTGGCAAGGTGTTCATTTTTTTCAAATCTTTCACCTTGTTTCTCCAAATGTATCTTGTATGGTTGTGGCTGAAAATATCAATTTCTGTTTCATCTGTCCCAAGTACTTTATTCCAGAACATTTCAAGCTTATCAAGAATTTTTTGGCAGAGAAAAGGTTTTCTTCTCACCACCCTGTTGGTGATCACTGTTGAGACTTTTTAATAGCCTTACCCTGCTTTCTAAAAGTAAATTGTCTTCATTTCAAATGCTCAGCTGCTTAGAGGATAGTATCATGATCGTGGTATCTTCTCTGCCAGATAAGTATACCATCGTAGGGGGCTTCAAGTGAAAGCAGGCAGAACAATCATAACTTGAGAGGTTAAAAATTGTTGTATTAATAATAATGGCTCTAGGTCTTTAGGGAAAGAAAAAGACAACGTAGAACAAGAGAAAGGATGGGTGATTTCTAGAAGAATTAAAAGTATGCTGATTGGACTTATCAGCTCATGAAATGTATTGTATTCCAAAAGCAAGGATCAGAGATCACACAGAACTTCCAGGACTTTTGTTCAGCTGATCTTCTCATCCTTCCAGTTCATAAAATGTGACTAAAAAGGAAAAAAATGGTGACACTGTAGAGAGCATCTGGATTAAAATAAGTGGAGGAATGTCTAATGACAAATTACCCTGACTTACACAGCAATAATCCACCCCAACAAATATCCTAGAGAACAGATAAAATGCCAGACAATTGGAGGAAATGGAAATAATAGATCCAAGGAACTCCAAAACCAGTTAGTATGACATTGCTCACTATGGTTTTAGAGAAAATCATAAAGATCTATTTGTAAGCTTTCTGAAAAAAATTCTCAAGTTCAACTCTTATCCCATAAGACTATTCTTATCCCATTTTTTCATTGGTAAGTTCCTTGATAGACTGTGGTAAATATAACTAGCTAGATTCCAGGAAAACATCTGACAAACTACCTTATTACATACTGATTAGCAAGCTAGTTAAGTGTGAGAAGGTTCCAAGACAATTAAAAGGAAGATAGCCAAGATGAAAATCGTATTCAAAGAGTGTCCATCAAGGAGTCCTCACAAAACTGCAAAGAGGTACTGAGTAGGTGGCCATAGGTTTCAGTCCAGAATCAAATAGTCTTCCACATTTTTATTAATTACTTAGTTGAAGAGGTGGAAGGCATGTTTATCAAATTTGCTGAGGACACAACATTAGGAAGGAATGCTAAGACAGAAAAATCAAAACAATGATACATTAAATTATATTTAATGGAAATAAATGTTGTAGGAGGTATGCTGTCTTCCCATATATAGATTGTGATGGAGAGGTTACCAAAACAATTCAAACCCACCAACAATATCCTTTCCTCTTGATACATATGGGGACATATGACACAGACAGAAGAGACACTGAAAGAATCTCTGGTGACTACAAAATTTTTGGCAGGAAGGTGAAGGAACTGTGAGAACATGTAGTTTCTTCATCAGTCCTTTCAATTAAAGTGTTACCAAGAAAGATTTGGATTTTATGATGATGGCCTATGCTATCTTCATGAATGATTCCTGGAAAGAGATGGGGTACATCTTACAAAAACTGGAAAGGAAGCATTTGGTAGGTACCTCACCACTCTCATCAGGAGAGCATTAAGCTAGAACAAACAAGGGAGGGTGGCAAAGCCCAGAAGCAAATATGCAGCCAAGGACAGGGCCCAAGAAAGCAGAACTCAAATGGAAAAGGAAGACAGAGTGGGGACTTGAGAGTTCCACAGGAAACCACAACAGAGAGGCCAGCAGGTAATTCCCAAATGTTTCTATGCAAACATACAGAGCATGGGAAATAAATAGGGAGAATTAGTGATCCTAATTCAGGAAGACAAATATGACATGATAGTCACAATTAGAACACAGCACTAGAAGGCTACAATTTATTCAAAAGGAACATTGAACAGAATGACTGAGACTACTGTATGTAATGAAAAAATGAATAGGAATTCAGGAATCAGAGCACAAAAATCCTTTTGAAAGTATTAGGGTAAGAATAAAAGGTGAGAAAAATAAAACTGATAATGTTATGAGAATGTATTATAGACCACCTGGGCATGCAGAAAATACCAATGAGGTCTTTCTGTATCTTTCAAAGAGGCATGCAATTGTGATGATGGGGGATTTCAATTATTCTAACATCTGCTGTGAATCTAACTTATCAAGAGCCAGAGGTCCAACAAATTCCTGTCCTCTCTTGTGGACAACTTCTATTGTCAGAAGGCAGAAGAAAGGGAGTCTGCAATCCTGTAACTAATCCTCACCAATAGGGAGCAATTGTCTGAAGAACAAAGCTCCAGAAACATTCCCAAAAGAGTCCTGTATAAAGTAAATGGCCTGTTATGGACATAAGTATGGCTTTCAAAACAGATTTAAAAGTATGACCTGATACAGTAAAGCTATGTTTACATAACACACTAAAATCACAAACGAACTCACCTAAAAAGTCTATATAGTACATTTGTGTTATGTGGACCAGAAAAATAAGTTGAACTATAGTTAACCATAGGTAAGCATGTAATACAAACTCAAGCTGAATAAACACTGTTAAGTAACTCTCAAACTACTTACGGCATCTGAGGGCATTCCACAACCTGAAAGCTTTTGGGATGGCTTCCACAATCCTTTCCTCACATATCACTGATTGTGGCCACTGATTTTTGGCAGTGTTTGCATCTTAGTGGCGTATATGCTCCAACTTGTCTCCTGATTTTCTTCTACCAAACCAATTATAAACTTCCATCCAAACAGTTTTCCCAATCATGA